TGTATCTCTTTAGTGAATTTTTCATTCATTTCCTGAATTGTTTTTCTGGTTTCTTCGAGTTGGTTTTCCATTTTCTCTTGGATTTCATTGAGGTTTCTTACAATCATATTTGTAATTCTTTATCTGTCATTTCAGTATTTTCATTTTGATTGCTATCCATTGCTAGAGAGCTGGTGTTCCCCTTTGGTGGTGCCTTTCACTCTGATTTTTCATACTTCCACAGTTGTTGTACTAATTCCTTCTCATTTGGAGCAGCTGTAGCATCTTATTTTGTGAATTTCTTTTGTTTAGATGAGGCTACCCCCACCCCACTCCCCTCATAAGAGTGTGTCTGTAGCATATATTGGATAAGAACCTTTGGCTTTGCTTGTGGGTGCTTTGCTGGGGGTCTAGATTCTAGATGGATGCCTTGGTTGTAGATATCCTTATCGTGGTGGTTTTCTCAGTTGCTAATTGTTTGTAGGTTGTAGCAGTGGTGAGCTATGTGTGTGAGCAGATTCCCTTTCTCTCATTGATGAGGAAGGATGGAGGTCTTTGGAACCCTTTCTCTTTCCCCAGCCCTGTGGTCTTCTTAACACCAATTTAATCTCTGAGGCAGTAGGTGGTGCTTGTGAGTACGAATCAACCACACCCTTTATGACTGAGTCAGTACATGCTGTAAAGGGCTGTGCAAATTGCCCTCCCTGCCACTAGGTGGTGCTTGCCAGAAGGAACAAGCTACAGTGTTGTTTTTGGGACCTGTGACCATCTCCAGCCCTCAGGAAAAGCACTTGAATGCTACAAGTGGCAAGCAGGGCCTTGGAACTTCAAAGTGAGTTCTTATTCTCCATCCCAGCAGAGCCGGGTGGGGGAGTGAGGTTGGGCAGGGCTGGGTTGGGTGAGCCTGACCTCAGGCTCCACAAAAGCTGGTAAAAGTAGGTGTCTTGCTCCCGGGCTTCTGGGGAAAGCCACAAGGGAAGGGCTGAAGTGGTCCCACTCAGCCAGAAAGTCTGCTTGTGGGACAGGGGCCATCTGAGATTCACAATCTGCTTATTATGAGTGGCTTTCACTCTTGTGCCCCCTCCCCTGCTCCATGGTTTCCCTTTTGCATCTGCCAGCAAGCAGGAGCTCAAACTAGCTGAGCTGCCCTACAATGGTGTTGTGGGCTGGGGGTTTCCCTGTCCAGGATCCCACCTTGGGCTGAGGGCATGGCCTTCTTGTTGTGGGAGGGGTGCTCTGTTAGTGTGCTATGGCTGAAACCCTGCACTCTCTTTTCTGGTCTGCCCACACGGGTTCCCTTGCCTGTGGAAATTAGCTCACAGATCTCCCTTCCATGCCCCCGAGCAACACTATCGAGACCTGGGGGGTACAGGATCTGGCCTTCTGGCTTGTCCCCAGGACCCTAAAGATCCATCTTTGACCATGCCAGGGAGAAGCATGCTGATCTCAAATTGCCTGTGGGGTTCTCGAGCAGGTTTGATGTCCCTCCACTTTAGAGTATGCTCTGCTCTGATGAGGCAGCCGGATAAGCAGCACTAGGGAGGGCTGGTGAGCAGGGAGCTCACAGTTTGGGTACCCCTTACTCTGCTGCAGGTTTCTAAGAGGAAAGGTTTAAGCCCCACTCTCTGCAGAAGCCTCAGTGTGCTGGATGCATCAACAGAGGGGAAGCAGCTACTTCTGAGAGCCCCAGCTCAATCATTTCTTTTGACAGCTGCGGGCACTGGAGGAAAAGAGTCTGAATGGAGCAAAGCTAGCACTCTGGTCATCTCTGTCCCTTTCTCTGGGAGAAAGCCCACCCAGAATGTCCAGGCTCTGGGGTCATACATATTTCGCCAGACACACCCATCCCCTGTGGCTCCTACAGTCTGGGCTGGAGTTCAGAAATGTTTATGTGGGAACGAGAGAGATGAAAACTGTGGGGTTGAAGCCCCATGGGGAGAACAAAGGCACACGGTGAGTGGAGAAGCAATATGGCACCTGCCCTCTCAGCTTTGGTCTGCGCTTACGGGAAAGATCCCAAGGATGCTGGCAGCCTGTGCTTTGTTCTCAGGAAGCTCCAGTTTACCAGTGGCAGCAGCTTTTAGGCTTGTGAGGATAGGAAAGCTCTCCAGCAGCTTGAGAGACTGCCGACTGCCAAAGATGTGAGGGAGGGAGAAACAAACCTCCCCACCTACCTTTTTGCTGGACTCCAAGCCTCTCAGGGGTTCATCTCTGCCAATATCTTGCTCCTTCTTGTTCTACTCTGCAACTTCTTACCGTGGAATCTCTGGAAGTTTCTGGCACTTTTCCCTCGGAATCACACCTGATCTATATTTGTTTATTTTTTCTTTTTCATTTAAAACTTTTCCTTCTTTCTGAGACAATCTGGCAGCTGATGTCTCTGGTCAGCCATCTTGTCTCTACCTCCTAATGCATTTTATTATGGTCATATGATGCTAGGAAGAATTCAGTAGTAATTAAATGGAAAACTGGTGCTTTGTTTTGTTATTGCAATTAGCGCCTGGCAAGCTTTTACCAGTGTTGAACTTTATTGTATTTTTATTAGTAATTTGGTATTTTTATCTGACCTTTAACAAGTTAGTTCACATGCAACATTGATTTTTTGTCATCTTTATCATTATTCACCAGGCAAGGCAGATAATATGATGCCTTATACTTCACTGACAATAAGTCAAAGAACAAAAGCTTCTCTAGAAAAGGTTGGCCAGAAGACTTTTGGTTGGCAGTAGCAACATTTTCACAGTCTTTTTAATGTTACTATGAGAAAAAGTTGAAATTCTGCCATTCAAATAAGATGTGTATCTGTAAAATGTAAAGGAAACTATAAAAACAGAGCTGCACTTCATAAAATTTATAGAGTCATCTGTTATTTTCTCATCCTTCTTCAGTAAGTGCAAGAAACCTAAGTATTTGTTGCTCTGGAATGGATTAAGACATGAAAACCATGGAGATGATTCTTCTCTGTCATATGATATACACTGTGTCCCAGTCTTCCTTCATTTATTCTTTCATGTTCTCTTCCTAGTATTTTCCTTTTTCCCTCTCTTTCCATTTTTCTTCTTTTGGTATAAACCAAGTAGATGAATCCATGGACTTTTCTCAGCTTTGCATATCCCAAAGGTGGTTACAGAGTTTGCTCACTCTTGCTCTAGATTAACTTTGCAGAAGTTGGAAAAATTGCTGGTAACATATATTTTAGTTAAATGAAATATGTTTCAGTTATTTAATACATCGTATAATGTATTTGCGTAATGTAAAAATTAGTATTTATATGGTTAGACTGTCTTTTGCCTGATATTTAATATTATTTGAATAATAAAAAGTGAATTGAGACTGGATATGGTGGCTCATGCCTGTAATCCTAGCACTTTGGGAGGCCAAGGCAGGAGGATTGCTTGAGGTCAGGACTTCAAGACCAGCCTGGGCAGTGAGATCCTGTCTTCACAAAAAAATGAAAACATAGCCAGCATGGTGGCACACACCTGTAGTCCTAGCTGCTCAGGAGGCTGAGGCAGGAGAATCACTTGAGCCCAGGAGTTTGAGGTTGCAGTGAGCCATGATGATGCCACTGCACTCTAGTTGGAGTGACAGAGTGAGAATCTGTCTCAAAAAACAACAGAAAAAATTAATTGAATATAGCTGATTATAATTTTTTCTGTTGCCTTAGCACATGATACATATAACACATATTTCTTCTTTCTTTTATGTTCTTTATGTATTTTCATTTCATATGTATACCTCCATTAGATTATTAAAAGTAAAAATATCTTACTACTTATGGAATAAGGAAATTTAGAAAATAATTGATTTTTCCCATTTGAAAGATTTATAAACATGTCATGTTCTCTCTTTTTTCAAAGGTATAATGTCCCCGGCAATAAGCCAATGTAAATAAGGAAAGTGCACCTATTACTTTGGCACAAAAAATGTGCTGTTTTGTAACAGGTTTTACAGAGTAATTTAATTATAACCATTAATGAAATGTAACAGCAAACACATTCCTTACTAAAAATGGGGAGTTCTTTTTTGATTAGCTTTCTTATACGTATTTCTGTTTGACTTAAGAATATTACATTAAAAGTCAAATAAATAAGTTTTTTTAAAAAAAGAAAACTGAGGGGTTTCTTTTCCCATCAGGGGATGGGAAAAACTAAGTAATAAAGCCAACTGGGATAATGAGTTACAAACTTTGTTAGTGATGGAATCTTTCTTTAAATGAAAGCTAACTGTGACATCCAGCATATAATACAGATAAAAATGACATCAGTTTAGGGCAATATATTTTTTCGCTTCAGACTTGCACTCACACTATAGTCAATTAATGGGAATACAAACTGTATTTTCTAGTTTATATAAAATTTTTATTTGTGACACATTAAAGTGTGTCTGCTGTTTATACTACATTATAAAAGAGATTTAGAAAGAGATATTTCTATCATTCTACTACAGCAGCAGTCCCCAACGTTTTTGGCACCAGAGACTGTTTCCATGGAAGACAATTTTTCCATGGACCAGGGGCA